CACTCATCACTGAAGACTAGAGAGGTTGATCTGAGTAAATTTCCGATCTATCCAGGAAACTGTAGGACTGAGGTAGAGAAATAGGAAATAAAGCTCTTTCTCAGAGTCACCACGGAGTCCTCTGCTCCAGCAGAAAGGAGCTGGCTGAGTGCTTGAGAGTGCATTTAAAATTTTTCCACCAGGAATCTCATTTTGATTCAACCTTTTATTGTTAGCTGAGTCCTGCAGTACAAACAGAGCCACCAGCCCATAGCCAAGTCATTAAGACAAATTAAGACATATTAGCATTTGCTGGAAACAATTACCTACGTAGATTTAATTAGTTTCACCGCTGGAAGAGAAGCCTGAGAAGGCACCCAACACATACCCAAGCACAGTTCTGTAGCCACCCTGTGAATCTGTCACTTGTCAGTACCTTAGGGGCTGGAAGCTACTTAAATGGAACATCTACCGAAAGACAAGATGTCAGAAAATACATCTTGCATTAGCTCAGTGTTACAGGTGCTTATTCAGATTACTTGGAATCTGTTAGGGTGGTCGGTTTTGTTTTTTTTTTTTAACCTGTCTTTATTGTTATAATCATTATAATTGTTTATCAAAATTATGTACTGAGTTCTAGGAGGGGTGCAGACAGTGGTGCAGCAGTAAAATGTGACACTTTGCAAAGCTGACCCCTACGGGAAGGTTCTGGGTTTGTGTCTGGAGACCTTCCTAAATTGAGGACAGGTGGACCTGTGACCTGGCACTAAGACTGGGGCTGGACCTCTGTGAAGTGGGTGTTCTCTCTGTGTCTCTTTCACTTATAAAAGAAATAAATAAACTTTAAAAATAACAATGTACTGAGCTCTAAAATGAAATAGGCACATCATACAATCATATGATGCATTTAGAAAAAAAACTTCTATATTTACATTATTGTTTGCTTTTTCTAAAGGGTCCTAAACTCATAAGTTCATTCACTTCTTTTTTTTTTCTTTGTAGAGGTTTTTGCCTTAGGGCACGTGTGCTCACCAGAGAGAGACAGAGACAGGGAGAGGAAAGTGAGAAATCACCCCCCAAGAGGGGATGGCCACGCCACAATCCCTTCTTCTCCATTCTCCTCTTGGGATTTTGGGCATGCACACACACGTGCCCAGTGTGAATTTCAAGTCACCAGGTCTGGGATTCAAACTGCAGTCAGTCATGTGGGAGTCCAACAATGTAACCACTACAGCATCTGCTGGCCCCAAGTTTATTCATTTCTGAATTGAATCCTTCAGTCCCTTTTGTTATTTTCCTGGCATAATTCTTTTTAATTGTCAGGAAAAAGAGTCTCCTCAGCACATGAAACTGCATTTTTCCCAAAGAAAGAGAATAGAATCTGTCATCAAGCTTATTGTAGGTTGTGACTGCTGTTACAATAGGTCCATCATACCAAAATTGCACTATCTTGTCCTGGAGGTTGGTGAATGGGCCCTTAACAACATCCTGGGGCTGCTGCTAAAGAAGCCAGAGCACCTCCTTTCAAATAAATTATCAACCTCCAAGGAGCAGTCACCAGTTACAGGAATACTGTGTTTAGAGTGAAAAATGACTTGTTCTGATATCCTAACGATGCCAGCTTCCTTACACATTTTTTCCTATACATTAGATAAGTATGATTATATGTGAGGCACATAATCCCCTAGTGACTAAAAAAATGGATAGGCCTTTTATAGTGTGAGGAGTGAATATAAAAGCTACCAGGCATGCTGACAGCCATACAAGTTTATTACCTTCCCCTTGGGGTTGTCTGCGACAATCTCCATTTTTCTTGCTCCCCTGTACTTTGGACTTTGCAAATGATTTTGGGGCAACTCATGTGTGTTTAAGGCACACAACTGTTCCCTATGATGAACATTTGACACAAAATGTGATCCTCATTTTGAAAATGGGACAGGGTCGAGTGTGAAACCTCCAAGTAATAACTTGTTGAAAAATTATCTGGTTGCTTCTAAAATTGCCCCATCTCTCATGCAGAAATCCAGTTAAGAAGCAGCATCTTTGACTCTATCCATATAAGCATTTTTGATACATAGCAAGGGTTTCTAGCAGGTAGGGGTGCAAGCCTTCCATCTCTAGTGGAATTCCAGACAGCCAACATTCAAGTCTAGGCAACATTCAATCATTTTATTGTTAGCTAAAGACCACTTGAAACTAAATCTAATAATGTGACCAATATGCCTCTTAAATTACTTGTGCCCTTGGACATTATTTTTAGCCTTCTTCTTTCAAACAGAAACTTTAAGGTGTCTCACGAAAAGCCATACTCAATAACTTGTTCATACAGACACATTTTGAAAATCATATAAAGAGGAAGGAAATAGGCTTGCCAGTTTGGATAATGAAATTACTGTGATTTATTATGGAATCTGGCCACAGGACAATCTGAAGATCTAGCAATAAGTGGATGAGTAAATACATTATGGTGTAGCCACATGACAGAAGATTATGTAGCCACTAAAATTATCCTAAGGCTGAATTTATAATGATGAAGTGCTTATCACACAGCATTAATTGGAGGATTAAAAACTATACAATTGGGGACAAGCAGGTGGCATGGTGATTAAGGCACTGGACACTCCCACATGGCCGACCATGGTTCAAGTCCCACACCTGGTGACTTGCTTTCTCACTTTCTCTCTATCTCTCTTTTTCTGTCTCTCTCTGGTCAAATTAAAATAAATGAATGAATAAATAAATTTTAAGATAAATAATTATAAACAAAACTATACAATTATCTCAGCTATGTGTAATTAAAAAGAGAGAGACAGAGGGACCAGCAGTTAGCGTAATGGCTATGTTGCTGGACTCCCACGTAGTCGACTGCGGTTCGCATCCCGGACCCAGTGCCTTAAAACTCACGCTGGGCACGTGTGCGTGCATGCCCAAGATCCCAAGAGGAGAATGGAGGAGAAGGGATTGCGGCATGGCCATCCCTCTGGGGGGTGATTTCTTGCTTTCTGTCTCTCTGTCTGTCTGGCTAGCGCACGCGCCCTATAGCGAAAACCTCTCAAAAAAAAAAAAAAAGAGACAGAGAGAAAGAGCAAAAAACATTGGAAGAAAATTCACCATAATATTAACTGCATTTGATAAAGTGGGTTTTTTTTGTTTCATTCTTATTTTTCTTCAGATAATTGTAATGAATATATGTTATTTTGCACTCACACATAAAAGTTACTTTTTCAGTTGACTTTGAGCTTCCTGACAGAAAAGGCAGAAAGTGAGAAGAAGGGAATCAAAGGGAAAAGAAGTAAGAAATTAAAGGGACAAAAATGGATAATTATCTGGTGATGATAATGTGTATGATAGTATCTTTAACTGGACTAATATACAGTGTATTCATGCTGGGAAAATTCATTTTACAAGCTGTAATGATATACAGTGATTGTATTAAAAAAGAAAAAAGATTATAAGTGACTTGTTATACAAAAAATATATACAATTTAAAAATAAATAAACAGGGACTAGCAAATGGCATGATAGTTACATCACTGGACTCCCACATGGCCAACCACAGTTCGAGTCCCAGACCTGGTGGCTTAAAACTCATGCTGGAGACATGTGAATGCACAAAATCCCAGGAGGAGAATGGAAAAGGATTACGGTGTGGCCATCCCCCCCAGGGTGGATAATTTCTTGCTATTTCTCTGCTTCTGTCTCTCCAGAGAGTGCACATACCCTATAGCAAAAAATTTCTCTTGAAAAATAAATAAATAGGGCCGGCGGGTGGTGTGGTGGATAAGGGCACTAGACTCCCACATGGCCAACTGTGGTTCGAGTCCCAGACTGGGCAGCTTGCTTTCTCACTTTCTGACTCTCTCTTGCTCTGTCCCTGTCTGGTCAAATTAAAATAAGTGAATAAATAAATGTATGTATGTGTATATATATATATATGTGTGTGTGTGTGTGTGTGTGTGTGTGTGTGCATATATATATATATATATACACACACACATATATGTACGTAAATAAAATAATTCTTAAAAATCAATAAATGCATAAGTGACATGATTTTTACCATGTGGTAAAACAACTTTCTCAGTTCTTAAAGATAAAATTTTCCTTGATACTGGCTTTCCAAAAAGGCTTATCATAAAGGATGTAACTGATACACTGTACAAATCTTAATAAAGCTCTTACAGTAAATGCTTAAGGGAGTATTCCTTAAGACTATTTCATGACCACCCCAGGAAAAGTCACAGGTATAGCATTCACTATAGGGTAACAGCAAAAATTTCCTGGCAGGGAATCTGCACTTCATTGTGCTTTCATTCCTTAATTCTGTGTTGGAATTTTTATTTATTTTTTGCCAGATGGTGTGTGCAATGACCAGAAATGGACAGAGAGACAGAGAGACAGAGAGAGGGAGAGGGAGAAAGCTCTACTCAGTGGGATATGGTCACACCACAATCCCTTTCCTCCATTTATGCACCCTGTCTTGATTTTAAGCATGCATTTGGTGTGTTTTTCCTGCCACTGGACTGGGACTCAAACCACACAGCCAGCCATGTGGAATCCACTCCCTTAACCACCAGGCCACAGCCCCACATTTGAAATGTTGAAGTGCTGCTTTTGTCCTTTGTATCTTATCCAGACAAATAGGGTATGAAGAGCTTAGCAGATGGAGAAAACAGCCCTCAGCTCTTTATTCACACCTCAAGGATTGACTCAGCAGACCCAGAATCTGTATTTTGAAAATAAATGATGGGGCTGGTTGTTGGCACAGTGATAAAGCATCATGCCCTGCAAGCTGAGAACATGGGAAGGTTCTGGGTGCACATCCAGAAACCTCCCAGAGTACACTGGTCGCACAAGTGTCCATGATCTCGGGTTGGCTGATGCTGAAGGTGGTTTGTACCAGGAAGATCCTGTTGAAGGGTGTTTGCCTACCAGTATCCTCCTTGCTCATGAAAGAAATAAGTAAATAAATAAACTTAAAAAGTAAAGTTAGTGTAATTTGACTTCTTCCTCCCTTTCAGGTGTTGCTGCACTGGATTCCAATGTATCTGGGAAAATTGGTCTGCGTGCTGTCGTGTATTACTTCTGTACCACCGTCATTGCTGTAATTCTAGGTAACATGTCTCAATCCTTATTCCTCTACATAATTGTGACTTTTCATTCAAAAGGTAGTTGGGCTTTTTATTAGGTCTTCAGGAAAATCATGATGCATTTTGCATAGGAAAAAATCATGACTTTCTCGACAACCTAATAAAATGCACCACTTTTTTTCAAAAAAAGAATTAATGTTGTCAAAGTACCATGAAGCTTTTTTCCTTGAAGTTTTCACAGTACCTTTTATGGGAAGAAAGTGTCATTTGGAATGAGTTTTAGCCATGGCACTGCTTATTAAAGTCTCTAGTAAGAAACAGAAAGAGGGTGACAGTTCTGTGCCTTGTCAAGATCACTGGGTAGAAGGAAGAGAAGCCAAGTGCTTATATAATCCTTAAACTGGATAATTAGGTTGTATTGATAGAGCAGAATTAGAAAATATTTCCAGAAAGAGAGTATTTCTGTGCATTTCACACTTCACATAATACAAAAAGCTAACACCTAACAGCCCTGCCCAGTGTAAGTCCCACTTGTAAGAGAGAGTTCTAATAAGGGAATATATTTGTTCTTGTACCTTTTGCATGATTTATGAGAAAAGCTTGGCCCATCCTTTGTAACCTAGTGTCCAGAGTAGGAATAAAGGAAGAGAATCTGCTCAGTCGTTGCAGTCAGCTCGACCCTACAGTCTGCCTTTAATGAACTGATAAGAAGTGGTGGGGTGGGGGACCAGCAGTTAGCATAATGGCTATGTCTCTGGACTCCCATGTAGTCGACCGCGGTTTGAGTCCTGGACCCGGTGGCTTAAAACTTGCCAGGCGCGTGTGTGTGCATGCCCAAGATCCCAAGAGGAGAATGGAGGAGAAGGGATTGTGGTGTGGTCATCCCCCCGTGGGGTGATTTCTCACTTTCTATCTCTCTGTCTCTCTCTGTCTTTCTGGCGAGCGCACGCACCCTATGGCAAAAACCTCTCCAAAAAAAAAAAGATTAAAAAAAAAAAAGTGGTGGGGTGGGGGACCAGCAGGTGGTGTGGTGGTTAAGGCACTAGACACTCCCACATGGCTGACCACAGTTGGAGCCCCAGACCTGCTGACTTGCTTTCTCACTTTTCCTCTCTCTGTGTCTCTCTCTGGTCAAATTAAAATAAATGCATAAATAAATTAAATTAAATTAAAAAATACTTCTTTAAAAAAAAAAGTGGTGGGATATGGTCAGGTGTCAGTGGTTTTAGGTGGTAGGCCCAGCAGGGCCTTAAGCCTGCTCTACACCAAAGCCACATTTCCTCATTAGGTTCCTGGGAAAACAGAGACAAAGAGAAAGCATGATACTTCTTAATTATTAACTAAACATAAATCTCTTCAGAAACCCTGAGGGAAAAAGTGGGCATGGCCCTCTCATTGCCAACAGCCCCTCCCATTAACAAAACTGGTCCATTTATCACTCCAAAGTCCCGCCCCTTGTCGCAGCTTTTTCTCCTCTGCCGGGAGGAACAATCAGGAACTTAGAGGCTTTTTCTTCTTCACATCCCTCCAGTCAAACAACCTCAATAACTTGGTCTCTTCTCCCTCCTCTGCTTGGACACCTCCAGTGACAAGAGCCCTTTTCTTTCAAAGTCCACAGTAGCACTTGCAGATGCTCCACCATGGAGACAGTTCCTCTTTACAGCAAGAAGGGCCACCCCTCCCTGTAACCCCCATCTATCTGTCCTCCCCCTGAAGTGACATTTCCTCACTAAGCTTTCCAGATAGTCAAAGGCCAGTGGAATGAAAGAAAGACAAGATTTGTTCAGTAGGCTCCTCAGGAGAATAACCAACATCTGTGGGTAAAAGTTACGAGATGATACTGAATGAGCTCCCTAGGCTAGAATATGAATCACTCTCACCTTGACACTTGTCTAGGCTGATCTCATAAGTTAAAGAAAAAAGAATATTCTCTACCATAGGTATTTCCAGAAGTGATTCCTCATTAGACAACAAAAATAGAAAGTATTCCTTCTGCTTATTTATTGGATTGTCAGAAAAATCATGACACATTTTGCATAGAAAAAGTACATCATGACTTTTCCAATAACCCAATATTTAAATGGAAAATAATTAAGGCAGATGTCAAGGTCTAGCAAAGGCTCAGCGTTTTGACTGGACCTCAGGGTCCTCTCTCTCACAGTGCTGCCTGGTTTCACTATGCCTGATTCTAAGAATGCACTGGAGTGCCATGAGTGCCAGATGACCTGGAAGGTTTGTAACACCCTGTGGATGCTGTCCTTGGCCACAGGTGTCGTGTTGGTGGTGAGCATTAAGCCTGGTGTCACCCAGAAGGTGACTGAAATTGACAGGACGGGCAGCACTCCTGAAGTCAGTACAGTGGATGCCATGTTAGACCTCATCAGGTGAGTGTCTTGCCAGCAGGTGGCTTCGTGAGCACATTACTGTGTGGCTGCACAAGGCCTCATGTGTGGTTTAATGTGGTTTAATGAATTATTATTCATTTTCATTTTGCCCTGGGTCCCACAATTATATAACCAGCCTTGCTGGTCAGGTCATAGTTCCAAGAAAAACAAAGGAATGAGCTCCTCTGTCAGAACTTGAGTCAGACAGATGCAAAAAGTATAACTATTGGATAGTGCTGCTGAGCTGGGTGGAGTGGCTGGTTCCAAAGCACACTTGGAGAAAAAGACATATTTTTCATTGTAAAGGAGAAACTCTCTCGTAAAAAGCAATCAGACTTGGGAATACATTAATCAATAAGTAAAACAGCAATGAAACCAGAGACTCATAAAAATGGTATAAGATATGTGGTATATATTTCATTTCCACTTAAAACTTAAATGCATTTATTCACCAATTTTTTGATGCAGGGTCATGGTCTTTTCTTCAAGTTAGTTTTAGTTCAATGCAATTCTACAACATATTGTTTCTGTTGCATATGTTACCTTTCGAAAATGTGTCAGCTACACTTTTCAGATTCAGTTTCCATTGAGTGGAACAACAAATCCCATAAAAATTGCAGAGAAAGACAAGTGCCAAATCCTGCCAGCTTTTCTTTTTATTTCAATTGCCTTCTTAGACCTAATTTAACCACAAACATTTTAGTCATTAGCCTTTATTGAGTTTCCAGGCATTCAGCTTAGTTTTCATAGAAACCATACTTTTCTTGTCACACTCATATTTCATAGACTTATATAACATTTAATTCAATAATTACAATGATAGTTGCAATTGGAATTAAAAATGTTGGGACAAATTCAATGGACTCTTGGTAAGCATTCATCCTCAGAGATGAAAACAGAAATGTGCAGAATATTTTAAAAAATAGTCTCTTGTCTTTGAGTGTCTACATTTCACTGAGGGCGATAAATGTGTCAGTTACTCAGTGACTCGGGCAAGTGAGAGTTGACTAGGAGAGCTTTCTCTTGGATGAAGCACAGCAGGAAAGATAAATCCTAATACAAGGTAGCACGATGCCAAGGATAGGCCAGAAAGGAAACCAGAGTGTTTATCCAACACTATACTCATTTCCACCAATGTACTGAGTATAACACACACATGCACACACCTCTTGCCTTAAACAATAATGATTTTCATGTCTCCTACAGGAATATGTTCCCTGAGAACCTCGTCCAAGCCTGTTTTCAGCAGGTAATGTTTAGGACTTTAGCCCTCAAGTTGCTCCCCTCTTCCCATTACCAATTAAAACAATGGTTTTGTTTGTTTGTTTGTTTGTTTTTCCTACTGTGACCCAAGAAGTGGAATTAGCCCAACAAAAAGGCCAGCAGGAAATGCACCATGAATGGTGGAGTTTCAGGTGGCTCTTCTATTTTATGTCCCTGGGCCTTGCAGCCCACAGTCAAGTGCATGTCATCATTTACACTCTGGTCCATTTCTTTTATGACTCTCTTCCCCTAAACAATCTCATATGGACCAAATCAGGAGTCACATAATGGGGGTTTTAAATTACCTACTTCAGGAGAACCAAAATATATTTGGAGGAATATATTTTTGTTATATTTGTGAAGAAATTTAGATTCTTTGCAGATGCAATGAGTGAAGATAGTAGCTGTTCATCTCTCCTTCCCCTCTCATGTTGGAAATCAGGATCTAACCCAGGTGTGGTCAGTGTTCCCAGCATTTGGCCTTTTCCTTAGCTATTACCTCCCAATTGCTGGCGCTCCACAGAGAACTGTAACAAAGCCATGATTTTTGTCTCTAGGAAAGTTTAACAATCCTTCACTCCATTTACTTCAAGCCTTTTTCTATTTGTCTATGCACTTTCAGACAGCTGAATCCATCACAACTGCTGTATTCATTTAAATAAATTACATGAACAGAGAGATCTGTGTATACCAACAAAAATGGCAGTTAGATTGCTCCCTGCAGGCCTCCACAAGGCACAGAACCACCTCTATTTCAGGGGTGCCTTTTCGGATCACCACAATGGTCATTTGTAAGGTTCTTGGTGTTGGCAGAGCCTTGTAGGAGGGACACTTATGCCTGGGGTAATAATATACTAGCTCTTTCTTAAACCTCCATGTTAGAACTCCACAGACCCAAACAGAACTGGAGGAAAAGAATTCAACAGAAATATCACTCATTGAACAGCCGTAAAAGGACTGTGGATTTTGAAACAACCATAAAGTTAAACCTTTCTCAATATCTATTAAAGTCATGGTGACTTTATCAAATTTGGTTTTTCCAAATTAAAATTAATAAATATAAACAAAAATGATTGACAGGAATACCAATAAAGTCTATGAAAGCACCTGTAGATAAAACCTATACTTTTTTTCTCATTATTGCTTCATCAAGTTGTCCCTTAATACGAAAATGAGAGAATATTTCGACATGACTGAACGGTGGTTGTGGGGATCGAAGATTTTAATTTCTCAGTTCTACTTTCAGTTCTAAAACCTCATAGGAGGTGCCACTGTAAAATGAAAGCAACAGAGGGAAGGGAGGTAGAAGACTATAGTGGCATTTATTTGGCCAAAAGAATATATTCCTGTGCTTTAGCCTTAATAAACTTTTGTTTGCTTGTTTCCTTGCTTGTCTTTGCTTTTGTCCAACATGTAGTACAAAACCAAGCGTGAAGAAGTGAAGTCTCCCAGTGATCAGGAGACAAACATGACAGAAGAGTCCGTCACAGCCATCATGACAACGGCTATGGCCAAGGTACCACCCTTACTAGTAGCTTGCTGCCTTCCCTAGTAGGCAGGAGCCGAGTTATGAGTGAGCAGGAGATGGAAACACAATTCATTATTTGCAGAGTCTGCATATGTGAATTAACCTACTTGCTCAAATCAATACTTGGAGCTTTCATGGTCACTCGCAGGCACACAGGGTGACAAAACAGTTGAGTCACCCAATGTGCATGTCATCGGCTGAGGTTAAGCTCTATTTTTTTTGTTTGGCTTTCATTCTGTAAATAAATTTCCTTTTTGGCTGCATGTTAGTGCCATATATTTTGCATTTTTTTGTGCTTTTTCTTGGTGATTTCACAGTTTAAAATGGACTGTAGCATAGTACAAACATGCTTCTCCTGGTCTTCCTAAACTCAGGCTGTGATGTGTCTTACAGAGAAAATACATGTATTAGATAAGCTTTGTCAGGCAGGAGTTATAGTACTGGTGGCCATGAATTTAATACAAATGGATCAACAATGTATACTCAATAAGGTATCTTTAGGGGCTGGCAGGTGTCATAGTGGTTAAGAGGCTGGACTCCCATATGGCCAACCACAGTCTGGGTCTTTGACCTGGTGGCTTGCTTTCTCACTTTCCCTTTCTCTCTCAATATCTCTCTGGTTAAATTAAAATAATAATAATAATTAATTAATTAAAGAGTATGTTTTTAAAATGAGGTGTCTTTAAACAGAAACACACGTAGAATAATGTTACGAACAAATGTTACGGATTAATGAAAATCATTTAACCAGAGTTTGCAAGAACTTAATCTTGGTGTCCTCCTTAAGAGCAATGGGTCTGTGTTCATGGGAACTTTATAGAGAATAACTACCAGGAATAAAGAGTACCACAGAGAGAAAAGAAGGAGCCCTGGTGCCTTTATGTCTCTACACTTCTTACAGTAGAGTTGGGCAGCTAGTGAAATTGCTTAGATTTGTGAGGGTACATAAACACAGGACGCAAGCTTACAATTCCTTGATAGACTCTCTCCGGCCAGATATCATGCAGAGTTCAGAGTTTCTCAGACTTTATAGTAGGGCCATGTGGTGTGTATATTGTATATGAGACAACATCTGTAAATGGAATTGGCAACCACACTCTAGAATCAAGCACATCGATATTTCTGCAACAAACTCATGAATATTCTGCCAAATAAGAGAAGCAGACTATCAACAGCCTAATCTCAGTATCTGGTAGGTTTTATAGACAAAATATTTTGCCATAAACTTACCATTACATCAATGGGCTTTGAGAGCTTTAGGGATTACAGAATTGGAGAACAGAACATGTAGGCCTGAAGTGGGGCCTTTGAAGGTCTGTCATAGATTTCTCCTGAATGTTCTCTGCCTTCATATGGGAAGGAGAAATTTAAGAGAAAATTAAATGTTCAGTCGACTTAAGCATTCAAATTAAATAGACCACAGCTGGCTCCCTGCTTCCCACTGCAGAAAGCCTTAACCTCTCAAGTTGGGTTCATAGCCTTCCAGGACTTGGTTCCCCTGGAGTTTTCCCAACTTACTTCCCAGCAGATCCCCTGTTTTTTATCTGGACCTGCCTCCTCAATTACTCCTTATTTCTGCCTTTTGATGTGGTTCCACAAATACTTTTCTGAATGCCATCCATAAGCCAGACCCTGCTGGGCACTAGTATATTAATAGCAGAAAGACAGATGTAGCATCTGTCTTCATGCAAAGAGTGATGAGTATTACAATTGGGAAGAACAGGGTGCTTTGGAGGCACTGAACAAGGGACTTTAGATTAGTTTGAGGGCCATAAAAAATGACTTAAGAATTATTCAAGCAGGGTACAAGGACTTGGGGCATGATAACTTTTGCTTTTCCTTCTCATTTTTCTTCTCACTGCCTACTCTTCAGGCCTAGCTTTTCCTGACCTCAAAACCTTCCTTTATTCCAATCTCCATGTGACGCTTGTAACTCGTAGCTTGGCTGTGCAGTTAATTACATGGCATCTTGTGATTATTGCCTCACATTTCTCACTGTCAGTCTTGAATCTCCAGCTGAATTTCAAGACATTATACTGTAGCCAATGTAGTTAGGACACCTGAGCTTCTCCATAAATATTTGTTTAATGAGAAGAAATGACTGGTACCCCAGTGACTTGTGGTACTTCCTAATAAATCTGGTTGGTACCACTCAAGATATCTGATTTCTTGGGAAACCTCGTGCTATCTTTACTCAGGATAACATAGATATCTGACTAATTTTTCTTTCTCTACAATCCTGTTGGTCATTCAAGATGCAGGAACAGTAAAGAATGTTCCTATGTTTTATCATCAGGGTAAATAGATGGTAAAATGTCCTGAAAATGTTCACATGGTAATTCTATACTTCCTGCATTATTCATTCCTATCTTTTCTTTTCTTTTTTTTGAAAATTGCTGTAGGGCACATGCATGTGCCAGAGAGAACACTCCCCAGGGAAGATGATTGGTGATGCAACAATCCCTTTTCCTCTCAGGATTTTAGGCATGAATTCACACATGCCTGGCATGTTTTTCAAGCTGACATGTCTGAGACTCAAACTGTACAGTCAGCCATGTGGGATCCAATTGCCTTAACTACCATGCCACTGACTGGCCCTAGTTTCTATCTTTTTTAATGATTTTTTAAATTTATTTATTTATTTTAGTATGATTACTATTTTTAAGTTTGTTATAGGGCAAGTGTGCTCACCAGGAGAGACAGAGAGAGAAGTAAAGTGAGAAGAAAGCTACCAGTTCCGGGACTCAAACCTCAACTGGCCATGTGGATGTCCAGTGCCTTAACCGCTACAGCATCTGCTGACCCCAATCCCTATCTTTTCTAAAAGCAGATTCCAAATGTACATATTATAATAGTTAAATACAAAAATATTCTTGACTCTAAAATTTATAGTAAAAATGTAAAACATTCCAGGATAGGTCTTTAAAAATATATACAAATGTGGACTTGTTAAGAGAGAGGGAAGAAATTTTAAGCTTCATTGAGAGTGTAAAATTCGTTATATGCATAGGTTTTTAAAAATAATTACTATATTTTCTCAAGTATTGTTGACTGACTGGTAGATGGCTAGTTTATTATGCCTAGCTATCATATCTTCTTGTTTCAGGGCTTTTGTATTCTAACAAGATTATAATCATGCATCAATATATTCTTGGTTTTGATCCACAGAACAGCACAAAGGACTACAAAATTGTTGGCATGTACTCAGATGGCATAAATGTCCTGGGCTTGATTGTCTTCTGCCTCGTTTTTGGACTTGTCATTGGAAAAATGGGAGAAAAAGGGCAGATTCTGGTGGATTTCTTCAATGCTTTGAGTGATGCAACCATGAAAATCGTTCAGATCATTATGTGGTGAGCAGCCACTAGTTAATGCCATTTTGCTTCCCCTGACAACTCTGTCTCCTTAAAATTGGAAAGAGGAGTCTATGTTTCTTAATTGATCTAATCCTAGAGAAGGTAAATATTTAATATCAAGACACTGGGGTACTAAACAACTTCATTAGGAGTTAGTTCGCTAACTAAAGTGTAGCTAACAGCCATTGTCTTCTCCTTCAAAGCCTGGGGAGATTATCTTGCACCCAACCAGCATTAATGTTGGAAGGAGTTCCTTGCACATCATAATATAAAGTGCTGCCTTTATTAGGCTTCAGGTAAAAGTGAGGTTCAAAATATTTACAATTAGTACAGTATGGACACTAAAACTGCCACCTGTGATCATCCCAGTGACACCACTGAGTATCTGCCCTGTCCCTGAAGATGCCAAATAATTCACATTTCCTAGGAGACCACTGCCTACTTTCCTCATACTGAATTAACATTATTTAATCCAAAGTGTAGTCACTGACAATGACTTAAAAGGTTTAGAAATAACAGCTTGGTAAGTGACTTAATCCATAGAAACCTCAGCTTCATCTTGTAAGATAGGATAATAAAAACTACCCTCAGGGTTAGAAGTACATTAAGTGAAATGATGCATGTAAAATACTTTCCCCAACCAAAGATGTAATGAGAGCTCCACAAATAGAACTATTATGTCCCATTCACTACTAACATGACTGCCCCTATTGCTGATATCCGGGAAACAAGATGGCCATGGCTAGAAAGAGTCTCAGGTCTACAGTTGGCAGTGAGGGTCGAGCCCAAGGGAGATAAGCAGATATGACACTCAGCAGGATTATGTGCACTGGGAACTTGGCATGTACTCAGATGGCATAAATGACCTGGGGTAAACACCAGCCTGATGACATGTTCTTGCCAAGTGCAGTGTAGAAACTCTCCTTGTGGTCATTTCGGTGGGTAGAAGCTAAGGTACTAAAACTAAAGCCAACACCATCCACCCAGGACTTAAAACTGAGTTCTCAGCTTTATTATGTGCCCTGGGATACTCCCAGCTGAGTGCTTAGGTCAGGCTGAGAGAGTATACACTGTCTTGTTCCTTTCCTGACAACCCCAGCCTAAGAAAAAACTAATGATGGAATTGCATCTTTGTTGTGCTTATTTTCTAGTTACATGCCACTTGGTATTTTGTTCCTGATTGCTGGGAAGATCATAGAAGTTGAAGACTGGGAAATTTTCCGCAAGCTGGGCCTGTACATGGCCACGGTCCTGAGTGGGTATGTCAGACTCGGGCTAAGTAACAGATACTTCGTTTGATCCAACAGAATTTCTGTGGAGAGGCTGGGTTCCTGTTGGTTTTTCTCTCCTGTGCAGAGAAAAATAGGGTTCAGAGATAAGAGAGCAGTGGGGAGGAGGGCTGCCCTTTAACAGCTGTACTGTAGGTGGATCTTGCTGTGCTAATTGCCAGCTCTTGGCAGAACAGCCTGGACCAGTTTTGTCATTGCCTTTGTTGGTTGCATTAAAATCATTTTTAAAACAAGAGTGAAGCCCACTCGTAGCCTCTCTTGGCTCTCTCCTGATCTTTACTGACTCAAGAATGTAAACTAACCAAGCAAGTAAGAGTAGTCTCCAAGTACCCTGAGCCTGAAAGAAATTAAGAAGGGCCTAAATGAAATTCAGCTCAAGCAAGTAGGAGCAGGTGGCTGGTTTGTTCTAACACTGTTGCTAGTGCAGGGATAGGTCATTTGTATATTTATTACATCCCTGTTATGGTTTTTTTGAAAGGAGATCAAGTAGAATAGATTATGAATGGTGCTTCCCAGACATCTAGCCCGGGGTATGATACAACACATGTGCTAAGAAATACAGAACAAGGGGATTAATAAATAAAATCTGTTTGATTCCCATAGGTCAATACCCCCAAACACTCAACTTGAGCAATCAACTCACCTAACTAGAACTTGATTGTACTGGGGAAATTCCATTTAATAGTATTTGGTTTTTAATTTGTTTGCCAGCCAACACAGAAGCAGCCTGGGCTCCTACAATGTGAGGGCCAGGCTCAAATCCCATAGCCACATTAGGTAAGGGAAATGGCACCTCTACCTCACTAGAGGCCAGCCTTGCTCCAGAGCAGCTGAAACAGGCAGTACCAGGCACTAAGTCGAGGAGTGATGCGGCTGAGATCTGTCATACTGAGCCTTTTCATAATGGACTACTACTGCTGGTTGTTATCCTCTCACCCTATCTAGGTTTCTAACAGAAAATTAAAAGCTACAGTTCTTAACTACAAGCTCTCTATTGAGAAGACCCTCTCTCCAGACCTCTAAGATGACAACTTTTTAAAATATTTATTTTATTATTTTTTAATTTGACCAGAGAAGAACAAAGAGAAAGTGAGAAAGCAAGCTGTCAGGTCCAGGACTCAAACCACAGTTGACCATCTGGGAGTCCAGAGCCTTAACCACCACTGCACCTGCCAGTCCCCAGTGACAACTACTAGTAGTAGCAGCAGTTACCCCTCCTTCCCTTCCTCCTCCTCTTCTTCATCTTCTTTCCCATTTCTGCAC